GTGTCCATTTTCTTTATTTAAGCATTTCGATTTCCTAAACACGCATTTCGAGCTGCGTTCATTTCCTTAAATATGCATTTCGAACTGCGTGCATTTTTTTAAAAACGCAACTCGAGCTGTGTCCATTTTCTTAACAAGCATTTCGAACTGCATCCATTTCTTTATACTCACATTTCGAACTTAGTGAACTAGTTGTGTCGAAAATAAAAAGCTCACTGATGAGTTGCAGTATGAAATTAAAGCATTAGAACGGAATAAAAAAAATTTTTATTGTTATTATTATTTTTATTAGAGTTTAGCAAAAAATAATTAAACTTTTTTTAAAAAAATTATTTTGTTGAATTGGTCACAAACTCTATCAGCTTTACCTTTTATGTTTTGCATAGTACACGCACGATGGCGAGGATAAATAAATGTATTTCATTAAATTTCTCATCATCATATTGTTTTGATAAATCACCAGATGACTCTAAAAACAATTTTAAATGTAACTTTCCAAATATTGATATTATGTAAATATTCATAATTGAGTCCACAATATTCAACTAATAGCACGAATTCGTCACGTTCTCAGCGAGCACCCCACCTGAGATTGAATAAAAATTCCATTACCGACGTCCCTCTTATTAATAGAACACACTATATTCCAATGGGGGATCGACCACACAGATAGCATTATTAAGGAAAATTCTAGTATCGTCTGCTTATTGCCGTAGGGTACCCTCTATTTGCTGCTGCATACAAATTTGTCATCTCCTGATTGGATTACTTAATTGAAATTATTACCATAAAGGGATTTTGACAAATATATTACAAGATAATGTATCATTTTAGTACATGAATATTGATTTGATATTTTCCCATTAATCTGATTTGCCATGCTGCAATTCATGAGGGCTTCTTGATATATTATGATGTCAGATTATAATCAAGACGTCAGATGCCATTTTTTTAAGTTTAGGTCTGATCGCTGTGCACAATATAAGAAATAAATAGTATAGTCAATCATAAGTTATGATATTATTGTTTTCATTATTTCCTTGAAGAGGAATTATTGGGTTGACAATTTTCTTTCCTACAAACAGGGTTGACAATTTTCTTCATAAGTGGAAAACAATTTCGGTAGAAACACATAAACGTTTCAGAGTACAGTTTCGAAAAAATTAATAATAATGCTAATTTAACTAGAGTACAGTATTTGACATTTCGTTTTTAGCAAGAGTTTTTTCCAATACAAGAGAATGGAAGAAACTATTGTATAAAAAAGATATTTCAAATATTGAAATCTAGACATATTAGTAGCATTATTTGCAAACTATTTAATAATTAATAGTTTTTGAAAAACTGAAACTATGAAGAAAAATAAATGTAATCAGTTTTTATTGATTTTATTTTCAACAGTAAGCGGTAGTATTACAGTCGTTTCATTTTCTGGTAGAAGATTCGCTAGTATTGATGTCTACCTTTTTTTCCTTTTTTTGTTACATCATACGGGATAGCCTGGTTGGTAGGGCACTGGGCCCATGTCCAACAGTTCATGGGTTCGATCCCAGCCTGCCGAAGACTCCCCGTGTAGTAAATGGTGACTGATGCACGTTAAATCCGTCGAGTCGCAAAGTCCACCATGTTACCATAACAAGTCAGTACCTCTGGGGGTACTGATCCAGGTGTTTCCTTGTCTTCTGGATTGGTACAAAATTACAAGGCTACGGAGTTGAACATCGGTAGACGGAAACCCAAAAATTGGGTCGGCTGTTCAACGACGGATATAAAAAAAAACCGGTTTTGGCACTAGCGTACTGTCAATATATCTTCTTCATACACATCGGACAATTTTTTTCTTGCTAGAGCAGGATTTTTACCTTTTCGATGTGGAGTATCGAAAACGTAAAAATTTTTTTAAAAAAAAGTAAAATATGCCGAAGATGCCGCTTTTCACTTTCTTTATTTAGCCTAGCGTGGGAGGTTTTGGTGGTTTTCCTAAAAATGTAACGCAAATGCGGGCTAGTTCCATCAAAAAGTCCTCCACGAAAGCAAATTTTTCTCAATACTTGAGTCGGGAGTTCCCTTGTCTTCTGGATTGGGTTCAAAAGTTCAAACTGTGGAGTTGAACGTTAGTAGTCTTAAATCCAAGAAATTGGGTCGGCTATTCAACGACTGTTATAAAATAATATAAAAAAAGTAATTTTTACTATATCATCTTTCAAAATTTATAATGATTATACGATTTAAGTGTGCAGATAGCTGTGAAAAAATACTATTTAGTTCTCTGTAGGGAAAAAATGAAATTACTTTCCGAACAACCCGATATTAAAATGATACTAATCGCGAGGCAATTATTGGTCATTTTTAGTTTCTTCCATCTCACGCAGATCCATCCATATCTTCGGGTTTTTACTAATTTCCTTTAGGGTTAAAAAAAAAAAGTTTTTTACTGGAAAAAATCTTAACCTAACTTTTTAAAAATAGAGATTGGAAGAAAAAAAATCTCAAGCTTCATTGCAGAAAATTAAATTATCATAAATGCATTACAATAAAAAAGAATTGGATGCGTAAAAAAAGATAGTTTCAAAGGCGCCGATTTAAAAAGCTTGATAAGTATGATTTTCTAAAAAATACGATTGAATCGTATTTTTATATAACTCTGTATTGGAGTCCCTATGCCGATTTGCTAACCATGGGAGGTTTTCGTGGTAGGGAAGTGATAAATTCCTCTCCATGTAACTCAGATACAGGTTAGATTGGGACAGATGTTCAACGATTATAAAATAAAATAAAAAATGGAGTTCATCAAATGGTAATGGTGTTCATTACTATTGCATACTATAAGCTTTCGGAAAATACAAAAAAAAGTCGATTTTTGAAAGAAAAAAAATTCATGGCGATTTCCTCTTTGAATTTACTTATATTATCACTATAATAATATATAAAAGTGCACACAACATATCTTACTATGGAATAAGTAAAAATTTCAATCAGAAGCGACTTAAATCGCAGGAAATTGTAATTTGTTTAGTATGATTGAAAATTTAATAAAAAAGATTCATATCTAAAATTTGCCAATTATACGCTTTTATCATTGCTAAGCTAAAACATAACTGTTAAGCTGAGAAGCTATGATATTAAAATAATTTAGGAAGTTGACAATTAAAAAGTTTGGTGACAAAAAAAAATCCTTTTTGTATTGAATTAAATTTTGTATTCTTCAAATCGAGACCAATAGCGTTATAAAGGAATTAAGCACTTAAGCCCCCCATGTATCATTAAATTCAAACAACTAAGTTGCTATCAGCCAGCAACCTTATGAATATCATTTATTACTTTGGCGGGAATATATTTTTCATCACTTCGTTTCATTTACACTGTCAACTCCTCTTTTAATCCATATGTGCCTTGCGTTCTTTTAAAAAGACGTTTTTTTTTTACCCCAAACAGGGATAATGAAGTTTCATTTTTGGAATTCGCCTTATGTTAACAAGATAATTCTATTTACCATTGGAAATAAAGTCATGGGACGCGGCCTTTTCGAAGTTGAAGTGGTGTAAGTTCCTTTAGTTTAAACATAAACTTTATATAACTTTTTTAGGAAAGGCACTCTTTTCTTTGTCAAAATATTGTAAACAACATTAATGGGATTAATTTCACTATCATGTTGTCTTGTACAGGAAATTAAATTTAAATAGTACTTCTAAAGGACATTTGCTAGTTTATTCTAAATTGAGTAGAAATTCTTTGATAAAATCTAAGTGTACAGCGTAAGCAGTTATTTTTATTAGCCGTATTGCATTCATTGAAATATAAGTAATTGATGGCTAGTCATAATGAAAATAAACATTTTAATTCTAATTGAGCAAAATTCTTCTTTAAAGGAGGTGAACTAGCATCGGCAATGCAGTAAGGGCATCAAGATATAGACAGTTTTCGATTTTATGCCAACAACAGAAATTTTTAGCAAAAATATGCACTATTCCTTTACATATAGTAAAACGCTTAAATGCTGCGTAAAAAATTTTAAAACTAATATAAAATCGAAAAATGTTTACAGATTGACAAGCTTATTGCTCGCCAAAACTGGTGAACCCCTTAAGAAGTGTGAGCATAGTGTTTTGACAGTTGAGTAACCATCATGTATTCATAGTAGCTCATGTAAACATGTTCAATGCTTACATTATTGCTAAATTTCAAGTAAAATAAATTGTATAACAAATAATAAATTTACAATTTGCACAGTAATTTGCATGACATATTATGCGCCCATTATCTTAGTGTTGGGCTTGTTGATTACATAATTGTGCTACTCAAACCAAGCAAAATTATTCAGCAAAAAAGTGCTCTCTTGAATTCATTACCATATAATTAACATTCTTAGTTAACATAAATGTTCAGTTAAATAGATTGAAATTTACCTAGTTGGTCAACAATTAGTCACACATTATCATAGAATTAGTGTTTACCGTTTGCATACCGTTTACTTTCTGAAGATGTGCAATTCTTAATTAAAATATAGACATATTGATTTTCTTGTATTACGTCTAATATAGACCTTGATATTTACAGAGATGTTCAATTTAAACAGAAGCAAAATTCTTTAACATGTCTACCTAGTAGTTGTTGTTTGTGAGGAAAGTATATTAGCAGAGCTGTTCAGTTTATGAAGATGCCAAACTTTTTATCAAAGCATATACATATAATTATATGGCTTGGAAAGTCATTTGTGTTGATAGGGTGTTATCATAAAACTAGACATTAACAGAGTTTTTCAGCTTATGAAAAAGCCAAACGCTTTATCAAAACATTTGAATGCAGATTGAATGATAATTTGAATGGCATTGATGTTATCATAGAGCCAGATACAAACAGTATTTTAGCTTATGAAGAAGTCTAACTCTTTTTCAAAGTATTTACGTGTAGTTTGGACAGTCATTTGTGTTGAATCGGTGTTATCATAAAGCCAGATATTAACATAAACTGTTCAGCTTATGAAGCAATCAATCAATCAAACTCTTTATCAAAGTATTTACCCTGTAGTTTGAACAGTCATTTGTGTTGAATGGATGACGTCATAAAGCCAGATATTATCAGAGCTGTTTAACCTACAAAAAAGCGAAACTCTTTATCCAAGTATTTACATGTTGTTTGAACAGTCATTTGTGTTGAATCGATGTTTTCATAAAGCCAGATATTAACATAAACTGTTCAGCTTATGAAGGAATCAAACTCTTTATCAAAGTATTTACCCTGTAGTTTGAACAGTAATTTGTGTTGAATGGATGACGTCATAAAGTCAGATATTAACAGAGCTGTTCAACCTACAAAAAAGCCAAATTCTTTATCCAAGTATTTACATGTTGAGTGAACAGTCATTTGTGTTGAATAGATGTTTATAAAATTTGATGTTTACAAATCTGTTCTTATTAAGTAAGAGCAAAAATGAGCTCAACAAAGTGTTTGATATTTTTTTTAAAATTTTAAACAGAATTCAACATTTCTGTTTTAACAGTTAGCTATTTTGCCAGCAGTATTGCTGCAAATATACCAACATAGAATGCTTTTAGTAGTAATGAGCACTACAAAAGCAAGTATGATTACCAAGGCCTCCAAACAGTGTTCTCCTCTAATAGAACGCCTGCATTATGAACATATCTACTGGCTCGTCCATAATTAGAATCCATTTTATTATAATGTAACATTTTTCCTTCCTCGCTGCTGCTATCCGACTCAGAAAAACAAGAAGCACTTTCATCTTCCGCTGATAGAGGTGAAGCGAAAGGAGAATCCCGTTTCATTAGTCTATCTGATTCTAAATTAGAATGCATTGTAATCTCGCTCAGACTTTTTGCACAGGTATTTCTTTTATTGAGTCTATAACCTCGAAATCTAGATTTGCCTTGAAGAGATGTGGTGTCGATGTCTTCTTGTGAAAGACTTGGAGTCGCGTTGTTGGCGGAGGAGTTAAGAATATTGTCCAGATGCATTTGGAGGGAGGCAGTTGGAAATTCTCTTATCCTGTCCTGAAATCTTTCCTCGATGAATTTTTTGACTTCTGACATGCACAACCGGTAGCCGACTTGAAAAGCATCCTCTTCTAAATAGTCAGGATTATGACCTGAAATGTAGTAAAATTAAAGATTAAGAGTTTTAAAATATACTACAATCAACGCTCGATATAACGACCTCTTTGGAACAAACGAAAGCTGGAGTTATAATATGAGGTCGCTTTATTGTAACCCCATAAAGCAGGTAAAAATATTTACTTTTCTTTCATAAATGGGTTTATTACTGGGTCATCACTGGGTTTATTTTGACAAAAACATGCAACATTTTTGATAGAATCGCGAAACTGACTAATACGCAGTTTTTTTTATGTCCATAAAGTAAAAACATTATTTGATATAGTACATTAAAAGTTAAAAATGCATTTAAATTCTTCAAATGATATATTTTAACATTGTACATAAGCTTTATATATGCAGTCAGTGCTTTTTCTAGATTTAGAAGAAAAAAAAATAAGAGAATGATGTCATAAAATTAAAACACTTAGTTCTTATGCCTTTAGAATTACGTTTAAATTCTTAATTATTGTAAGCAATGCGCTTTTTAGGATCTTGATTAATTTAGCAACTTGTGTTATCCTTCTGTCCACTGAATTAGAATTTTTAATTTCTGCTCTTTTAATTTTTAATTTCTGTCCATGTCATTTTTGCTATATACCATACGTCCAGAGAACAAGCAAAACTAAAATTAAAAAGAATTCGAATAATACCACGTATTTTAACTTTTAAAAAAACCATCGATTACAACTCCTCACAAAAAGAATAAATACAATTTTCGAACAAGAAACATACGATTGATGAATATATTGAAGCATTTGACATGAAATTTTGAAAGGTCATGATTATAGGAGAAAATTCGATTTATAAATGACATTGCAATATACACTTCAAATTCTCAATAATAGTAAGTAATCCTTATTTCACCATTCTTTTCACAGATTATGCCCAAGACCTCCAAGGTTTAGAATAGGTGGTCCTGTCACTCTCTTTTCATTCATTGAGAATTCAAAATGTTACTAGTCTATTGAGTGGTGACATTAGAATTTCGAATTCTCTTAATTACTCTTTCAATTTATTTAATTCTGAAAGCACTATACTTCCTTAAACGCGTCATTTAATTACAAAACTGGTCATATTATCACAGCATAAATTTTTTAGGAAAAGCTGATTTTCTGCATCACTTTAATCAAAATAAGATAGGAACTAAAACTCTTTCGTTTAAGAGGAAGACGAAATAAGGAGGCAGTAGCACGTGAAAAAAGGGATCACTCAATTTTTTTATTTCGAAGTTGACCGGTTTTATAGCGCCCTTATGAATTGAACGGTTTTCTTGCAAACCAAAACTCACAGTTTCTTAAATTTAATGTAAATAATTGAGCTCTATGATTGAAAATAGGCGAAAATGTTTTAATTCGATTAAATTGTATTAAACAAAAGTTACAATTGTAGTTTAAGTGTTCAATAATATTCGAAATTATTTTTGTATCGAGGACAGGAAAGTAACAGACCGAAAACAATTTTGAAAACTGTAGCTATTGTTTCAATAATTATTTTGTCCCAAGTTGTTGTTTCTAATAACACTTGGCCAAGCCAAACTCGCCAGTCTTTGGTCTTATGCAAAGTCAGGGAGTTGCGCCTTTCGCTTGACAAGATAGAACAGCAAGGGTGAAAGTACGTCTTAGCTCAGAAACCCATAGATAGATGGCAGCACCACTCCTTCTTGAGTTCTCATCCTCAATTGGTAAAGACTTAGATCTGAAGAGTGAGGAGATATTTTTGTCAGATCCCTGTACTTACAATACTTTTCAGTGACCAACCACAGGACTTTCAATTTCAAAAATTCTACGAGCACGTATGTGCACCATGGTTACGATTATGTACTCCATGGGTTTTAGCTGAGTTGAGGGTCGAACCCCGGCTCCTCAAGACTGGAGTTTGATTCTCTAACATACAGAGAGAGAGAGAGAGAGAGAGCATAATACATAATACAACTAAAATAATAAAATATTTTAAAACAACTTACTTGAAGATGCACTTAAATCTCGAAGCTTCCGTACGTAATCCACAGTCATTTCCAGAATATACGCTTTTTCAAACCTTGCAGCTCTTGTTTGCTGAGAAATAAAATAATTATTGCGAAATAAATTTTAAATCGAGAAACGTTGAACATGATCTACAATATTATTAAAATTACAAACAATATTCTCTGATTTGTAGAATATTTCAGCACTTTATGTCATTTATTTAGCAAATGACAGTAAAAAAATTAAAAGTTTTACTACAAAATAAGTTCTGAATAAATCTCTCAAACGCATTGTTTCTTATTTGAAGCTAATTGACATAATATATATATATATATATAGCCAATGCTAAGGATTTCAAATTATTTGCCAGATTTTAAAATTCTTAGCCAAAAGAAAATTTTAGAAATTTAGAAATATATATACGAGGTATGATCAAAAAGTATCCGACCTTAATTTTTATTGGTCAAACAAACGCAGCTATGGGGGCGGGGCTCGATGTGTGGTTGTGAGCATGCCTAGTGCGCATGCTCATTTTTTTCTACAGCTCCAANTATATATATAAAAATAAAGTATTATGAATCATACGTTAATTTTAATTTTAGAACAACAAGAGGGCTAAGCCGCCTATTTGCTGCCGCTCACTTCTAAATTATAGCCTTTTTATAGTTTACAATACAGTTTTATTTTAATGTTGTTTCATTTACTTTCAGAACTTTATAACAACTGCTTGATAAAAGCCGTCCATTAGCGTCACTTTGACTTGAAAAACATTTTGTAAGACAGAAGGGAAATAAAATAAAGTGGACAAAGGACTTGTGTAAACTACTATTAATTTTTGCCGGTTAGTATTAATGATTGAATTTATCACTTTAACCGAAACACACGCATTTCTTAGTAATAGAACTAAAACAAACTGAACTGTGAAGTTTATTGATAAATCGTTTGACATTATATAAAGATATGATTTTTTAAAAATAATACGCAAAAATTCTTACTTGTGGAGCTTTATGGGGTTTTGCAACCATTTCCACCAATTGCGATAAGGACCTGTTGATTCTGGCTCTTCTGCGTTTTTCAATAAGAGGTTTAGATACCTATAATTAAAAGGTTTAAAAGAAACATTTAATAAGAAGACCAATAAAAGAAACATGTGAGGAGCCAGTGGAGCTTTTCACGCATTTTTACACATTGTGGAAAAATTTAATTAGTTCGGTTCAAATATTCGTTGATTCGGTTGACCAATTTAAAAATTATTCACTAAAGCAACACATGATCAACACATAATTATTCCCAGAAGCAATTTCAAAAATGCATTTTTTTTCCATCAAAAAATGTTTAGTGTTTCAAAATGCTTCTAACTGCGAAATCTTTTTTTTTTTTTGGGTATTATCATATTATTTTTTAACAAAAAATCGCAATATGCTATTATTAACACATACAGCATTACTTGCAAGTAATTAAATTATTCCATTCGGTCATTAATAATTCTATTTGGTCTTTGCAACAATTTTGCCTTTCAGTTTTTCGATCTAAAATTTGCAGTTTAGCATGCTCTCTGGTATCTACGTATCAAATTAAACAGGCATTTGAATTAATGAGGTAGGAATTTTCGGTACACTTGATGCTGAATGACTAGCAGTGGTAATTAAAAACCATTGATACATGTCTAAGTTTAAGATAAAATACGGATTGATTTAATGTTCAAACAAATGTATGATTATTCATATTTTTCATAATACATAACCAATTATCCTACTTGTACTTAAATATTGTATTTCTAAATATATTTTAGTTAAAGCTTGTAAAAAGTATAAAAAATTACACATAATAATAAATATCTTTGTTTTTCATCATTTTTTGTACAACTTGTATAATTTATACTGATAAGCATTAGGTTAAATAAATATATTACGCTAAAAATTTCAAGAAATGTTACAATGTTTATGTATAATAATGTACTTTTTTAGGAATCCATATCATTATAAATCAATACTACTTTATGGTAAATCATCTGGTAAACGAGTGCTCATATTTTTTAATTGATTTCTAGAACTTCCTTGCATAACTTTACATATTTAATCAATTCGAAACAAATGAAAGGAATGTTCCCGAAAAGAAATAAAGAAAAATTTAAGTGATATTTACTATTATTATCATAAATTTTGATAGCCAAGGTTTCGAATATTTTTAGACTGAAGAGCAATTTTTAATAATTTAAAGACGTTCTACGACAATCCAGGATTTGATTATGATAAATATGAGACCCCTAGCCCCCCCCTCCAAATTTTCCAAAGCCTTAATGTTTTTAAATTATTCTTTGGATAAATAATATGTTAATACTAAGAAAAGAAAGAAATCTTTTGGCCTGCATACTTTTTCCCCAGCGTTTTTTCTATCCAATGATTTCTAGCACTTTTTTTTATTTAGAATAAACAATCTAAAAATTCTTAAAGGTAATTAAAAGTTGTTTTTTCTTAGTTAAAGCTTACATATCTGCAAACAAAATATGAACAACAAGTTATGAACAAAATAAAAACTGTTAATAGTCGTTTCATGTATATATAAACACATTCTTTATGGTTGAAACTTATTAAGCTGCATATCTGATTCTAATTTATGCAATTTTTTCACGTTTAAAAAGTTACAATAATTTTAATGATTTTTTTAACATATTTGAGGCCCTTTAGAAATCATGGGCCCTACATTGTAAAACATTTCCGAATCAAATTACAGTAAAAAATACCGGCGCTTAGGTTACCGGTGTCTTTTTTCATTCATTTTTACCGGAACATGTTACGGAACAAAAAAAAAATCTAATATACAGAAATTTTTACAGCAATAATTAATGTAAAATCACTGAATAAATTGATATAAAGATGAATTTTACTGTAAAACTGATTTTGATGAAAACCAAAGTGCCGGTTCTTAATACCGTAAATTGATCACAATTTTTTACAGTGTAGGCTCAGGCCTAGGAGATAATCATGTCCTACAACTGCCACAAATGTATATTTATGATTAAATTAATTTCCTTACAATTAAAAAATAAATAGTTAACCAGAATTTTACACAAAGCACTTTTAGTTACAGAAATGATTTGCAATTAGTTTTGGTTAGAACAATTCAAATACCAAAAGCTTTTACTTTATTCCAAAAACTAAACACGTTGTATAATAGTTTGAAATCAAAAAGAAGTATTTTAAGTGATAGAGTAATATGAAATGTATATGATTATTTTGTCAAATCGAACAGAAAACACGTTATTTGCCATATCTTGCGGGCTATGATTACAAGAATGCAGGCACGTCAAAACCAATGACAATATGCTTGTAAGAGAAACAAAATGATATATGTTCCTATTTATTATTTCCCAATCTCTCTCTGATATCTTTATTAGTAGAATTAGATTCCCGATCAATAAACCCTCAAATCATCATGTAAATGCTACCCTTCAATTAAACGCATAATTATTGATCGATATTAATGTCGTAACAGTTAATAGTAAGTTACATACATCTCTATTTAAACATGACGTCTCAATTGAGAAAGTATATTGATGACATTGCTAAGGAATTGTGCTCTGTTTATGAATTAAACAGAACACTGTTTTCAGACAATGTTTTATGAGATAATGATACGTGGTATTCATTACGCAATAAATGGTATTAATTTTCAGAAATTAATATATCAGTTAAAATCATTCTGAGTCTATGGAAATCATTAATAAGCATTTACTTAAAGGGGAACATGATATAGTTTAAAAAGTCAAATGCGAAATATTTTTGATACATTTTGAATTCATAAATGAAAATATTGATATCCTTATTTTATATTGATATCCGTATTTTAAAGGAAAAAATAAAGGTAGTCAAGGACAGACAATTGTGTATCAGTGAGGTATCTATAATATGTGCATTGTTCTAGAGAATTTAAAATCATTTTATGCTATTTAAGTGCAAAAACATAATATTGTTAGCACAAACAGTTGGGGGGAAAAATCCCTTTTAGTGACTTTTAAACAATAATTCGGCTTTTAATTCTGTAAATTGTTGTGAAAATATTTCAAAACTAGCCACCCGTTTGGTCACCTTTCCAAATAATTCTGTACAACATATAAATTTTAATATTAACCAAGTTGGATGCACAGCTCTGGCTTTTATAATCTCCTGAAAAACTTAACCTTTAAGCATATTTATGCAACATATAGCCCTTGTTTCGCCAATATAAAGTATAAATATTGTTCATAATCATGTTCAACGAGGAGGCAACAAGCAACTACAGATTCCACTGATAAGATTTGTAGCTATTATGGAGAATTTTAGTCCAGAGGAACATAATATACTGTTAAGTTTAGATTGTTTTTGGAAAAATTAAAAGGCACACTGGTGTAAATAAAAGGAAAAATCAACATAATTCTCATTTTTTTTAATTTCTCCAGTATTCACTGCGATTTTTTTATTTCATTAAATATGCAGTTTAATGAAAAATATGCAATTTTACGTATTTGAAAACTATGAAAAATTTCATTACAGTTATGGTATCTCCTTCATATATATTCCATATTTATTTTTACTAACATATATATTTTCAACTTTTTTCATCTACAATTGTCTTATAGAACAATGATTTTCACAATTATTGGTTTATGCATGGTATGTTAGCGCAGTATTTAAGTTTGTATATGATCTTGTTCAAAATATTTCATTTTTGAGTTTAAAAACATAATTACAAGCTATTTTTTCTTCTTCTTATTTTAAGTCTTAGTAGTTTTCACTTCTAAGAACTATTGAATCATAATAATATACATTTATACTTTTTATAATTGATGACTATGCCATTGATAGTGGTTGTAGCATAAGTTCTCAGTTATAAATTTACTCCGCATGCATCATTAGAAAACAAAACTTTAGTAAAAGCTTCGTATTCTAATTAAGAATATTAAACATGAGTTGCTTTTTTAAAAAAAAGCCATCAAATTTCAACGATAAAAAGCGTTATTTGGCAAAACCATCAGAAAATAATGTAAACAAGCTATAGTAGCCGTAGTAAAACTTAAAAAGATTAGCTTAGTCGTAAGTATGGCGTAACTGCAGCAACAGTTCAAAGAATTTTGCAAGTCCATTTTAATGTGTCACATTTGTCGTCGTGTCTTCTGGAAGATTTCTTAAATTAAAATAATTCTTTCAATGAGAGTTATAAGCCCTCCATCTTAACACAAATAATATGATGAGCAATTTAGATAAAAAAATTAATTTTGTAAATTAGTTTGTTTATGATCAGACCGTTTTTTGAATTAAAAACTATAAAATAACTAATAATATTCATACCTATACCTATATGAACCTACAATATTCAGAAATTTAAAAATTTTTTTTAACTCCTAGACGCAGATGGGGACCTATGACCCTTTTATATATTTCCCTGACGTCCTAATAGTAAGAAAAATAAATATTTTCGTATTTTTTCAAATTATAAAAAGCAGTCGAATAGTTACTAAAAAAATCTGTTAGATTATAGGAGTTATACTAATTAGGATATAGGATTATAGGAGTTATACTATATTCGTACTAAAATATAAAATCCAAAAAAAAATAATAATAATACTAATAATTTGAAAACTTTTATTTTTATTCATATTCAAAAATTTAACAATAATTGATTTGGCAAATTAAAGAAATTTAAATAATGAATGACTGTTTCACTTAGATCTAAATGAGTGCTAGGAAGCACAAATTTGAAAGTTATTGTTTGGAAGTGAGCAGTGTTTGGAAGGTTTTACCTGTAACGGCGAAAAAGGCACTGATCTTTCACGCTGTATTTCACAACTATCAATTATTAAAATGCTAAATACAATATTTTTCTCTTAGTTTGACCTAAATTAATACAAGATAATGGAAAAAAGTATGAAAATGTGCTTCATAAAAATTTTGAGTCAAAGGGTCAAACCTAAATATAGTTTTTTCCGCATTTTTAGTGATAAAAAGTGCTTTAAAAATTTCTGAAAACTTAAAGAGATAAATTAGTTACCAAAATTGCAACGTCACTCGAGTTAATTTGTAAATGTAAGAATTAATTTTTTAAACGTCTATGCTTTAGAGAAACTTCAGAAATAAAAACTTTTTAATGGTTTTACAGTATAATTCTATTTGATATTTATTTCTCTTTAGAATATGTGCCTTAGTTTCAAAATATCGCCTCAGCCGTTTTAATAGCTAAGCTAGTTGCAGATTCAATAAAATAATTTTATACTAGCAATAGTGTTTCTGTATTTAAATTTTACAGGACTCTTTTTCAAACCTAAATTGGGTTGAATTAATAAAAATGGGAATCATTCGCATTTCTCTCTACGTGAAAAAAATTATGAGTCCCGCCTCTGTTTTGTGTGTTCAACTTAACGTTTAATTTTGTTTCGCTGCGCAAAAGCTATAAGTCTTAGGAGCTTGAAATTAGGAAGATCAGTAGAATGAAACCAAAAATTTAACATTCGATTATTTGTTCAAGAGTTATTAACTATTGAACTTGCATGAAAAAATATCATGTAGGCCACTATACAGGCCACAGGAATGCAACTACAGAGTTGAAAATCAACACGGTAAAAGGGTCATTTGTTCATGAACTTAAAACGAGCAATTTTTTGAATATGCAATATTTGAATATTTGAAGCAATATTTGAATTGCTTAAAAAGTGCATATCGCAAATGAAATTGAACAAACTAAATACGACACATCGAATCTAATTCTATCTGGCTGTGTGTAGAATTTATAAATTAATTTAATCATACATATCATATTTTATTTTATTTTATAACAGTCGTTGAACAGTCGACCCAATTTTTGGGTTTATGATAACTAATGTTCAACTCCGTAGCCTTTTAATTTTGAACCCATTCCAGAAGACAAGGAAACTCCTGGATCAAGCATTGGGAGAAATTTGCCATCATGGAGGACTTTTTGATGGAACTAATCCGCATTTGCGTTACATGTAGAGGAAGACCACGAGAACCTCTCACAGTTAGGCTGACGGCAAGGAGACTCTAACTCATGATCCCTTTACCACTGAGGATATTTCCCGTCAAAACTGTGGTCGGTGCAAGCCGAATGCGGAATTCGTATCGACCAGCCACCGCCGGTATCGAACCCCGGTTCACCTCATTGAAAGGCGAACGCTCTATCCCCTGAGCTATTGCGGCTCATACATATCATATTCCTCATAAAGGTAAAATTATAAATTTTCTTAGTTTACTAATCATACAAGAAACAATTTAAAAAACTAACAGGAGTTTGGAGTAACGCCAGCATGTCAATGATCATATTTTGTATTATTAAAGTCAAATATTTCAAGTTTGCACCCACTGGAAAAATAATTAAAATTTTATAGATTTATGATTTAATTGATAATAACAAAAGAGTAAATAAAATTAAGATGCATTTAGTAAAGGCAACCATAAAAAAAACATATTTATAAAATTAAAGCACGATTTCTGATATTGAACAGAGCTGTTAGAAAGTAATATAGCTTTCCTCTTTATTTAAAATGGTAGATAAATTAAGCAAGCTAAAAATTTTAAAATTTCGCCACTATCTTTTTTGATAGTTTATGTAGATGTTTTAATTATTAATAAACTGTAGTGGACAGAATCTTTTTTAGTCATAAGTTAAAACAGAAATTTTGCTATACCAATTCAAATATTTGGCAGATCAGTATGAAAGCTGAGCACAGAGATATTGAAATCTTTTACTGCTCTCACGAGAATCACGAAAAAAACTGTTATACATTTTGTGAAGTAGAAAGTTCTTTTTCTAAGATTTTAATATTTAAGGAAAATAGAAATTGTTTAATATTTCCAATACAATTTACCATACAATTTATAAACTTATGTATATTTTCCTTATTTGGATATGTGTTAATTTTACTTGGTCAGCAGCTATTGGAAAAAATTACAGAAAGAGGGCTAAATTGAAGGATATAAATTCTAGCCACCCTCTCGAAAACTACGTTCTTCTTTTAATTTCCCCAGCTTGAAATCCGTTTGGTGTCTTAGCGATTGTAGTTAGCGCAACAGATCACGATTCGGAACTATCCTCAATTGACAGCGGAGTATAATTTTTATACCACTTTAAGTATTTGAGATAATCTTTTAGGAAAAATGATGGTAGTTAAAAAATACAATTTTGTTTGTAACGTTTTAGTTAAATTGTGTAATTTAAAACAATAAGATTAATTCCAATTGATTTTAATCCATTAAAGTTCGAATTTTAATATTGACATCAGATAAAAGGTGGCCTTTTTTAAAATGTTATTTATATTAAGTGAACATTAAATATCACTTTAGATATTTTTAGATAACTTTTAATAAATGAAAGTCTCAGTTTTCAAATTTATAGTTTTTATTACCGCGCATTTGGTAAAAAATACAAAATTCTTCCGAATAAATGATTTTTATGCCCTCCTCTAAGGTATCATGATAAAATTACCAAATTTAATCCAAATTTATATATTTAAAACCATAAAACTATATTTCACTTCTAATTTTAACTAAATGATTATCAAAGCACTTCGATAAAAATTATTTGAATACTCATTATCATTATTTGAATACTGGTTCAACTCCACTTAGAAAAAAATGGAGCACCCTCACTTTCATGTTTATAGAAATCATTCCTTGTTTATTATAAACCTAGCGCAACTCCAGCTTATTTCTGCAGCCAATCAAAGAGAACTGAGCGTAGCCACATTTTAGAAAAACTAAAACAAACTTGTTGAAAAAGATGGAGGAAACAAATTGTTTTAACTAATTACTGTAGGCCCAAAATATTTTAAAATTAAATGTAAAATCTAAAGGTTTAAATGTCTTTTAAATTAAATATTGTAAGTGATCAATTGAATTCCTAAACTTTAGGATAAATTAAAGCCTAAAAGATTTACTATAAATGATATAATATTCCTCACTAATTTTTAAATTTTTCCACACTGTGATAACTTTAAGAACTACAAAGCAGATGAGATAGGCAAAACAATGCATTCATCAGCATTTAGCGCTAGCACTGCAAAATAAAATGCCAAAAATCGTTATAACATTTGTTCTCATGATCGGATTTTCACACACTAGGATGATTAGAGGATCAAAATATGCTAAACTATTACCATAATATTATATGTTTGTGCAGTGCTATTTTAAATTACGAAATTAGACACTGGAGTGTTTTTTTCTCTAAATTATCTTTTTTTTTTTTTTTATTTGGATTTTTTCCCCTACAAATATGTAAGCGGATGTTGCCGAAATCTGGAAAATATGCTTTTGATAGTTTTATGCAGGAGAGCGATCAAAACCTGTGATCTCTTAATGATTATTTTATTTTTTACGCATCTCACCACATGTCTGGAACTTTTTAAGGTTACCAAAAAAGTTTTGGCCACAATTATATAACACAAATTTTACATTAAAAATAAATTTTTAGTACTAGGTTTATTATTTTTGTTCTTTATTTTAATAATGGTGAAAAAAAACTTTTAATAATAAGTTATATACATTCTTATATTATTTTTTAAACTATATTATATTAAATTAAGCTTAAATGACAAATCAAAAATTTTAATTGAAAAAAAATACGAAATATGAACAGAGTTAGCCAAATAATTCTAGAGAAATAGAGTTTAAAAAATACTTTTACTTAAATTCTTTACTTTTTATACTTTGAATAACTTTTTTTAAGCTAGTCAACGTGAAAAATTGAATTAACACTAAAAAAAAAACTAAACTTTTAACTGCTACTTTGCCTAATCTATTGGGACTATATTTTCGAGATTGTGGTTATTCTCATATTTTGAAGGTCGAAAATCTGAATCCGTAAAAAATAAAGATATATTCATTTAATGAAGTAACATTTTTGTGCATGATTTCGTAACCTAAAATATTACCTACGAAAAAAATTTAGTATATTTAAAGTTAATTCCTTGAATCATCAAAATTGTATCTTCGTATGTGAAGATCCGATCATTTTATCAAAAAAACATTTACGGTTTGCGAATTTTTATTTTGTGTGAATATTTTTTCTCAAAAAAAATGTAATGTTTATCTGTTATTCAAAATAAAGGTTTCCATACAAAAATAAAAACTTAAAAAAATATTGTTTAAAATTTTAAAGTTTCTTAATTTATCAAAACTCAAAAAAATGGAACACATTGATTCCGATAAAAGACGACACATTACACAATAAAAAATTCCAGGCCAAATTACAGTAAAAAGTTATGACAATCAGGGTGGGTACCAGTATTTTTTACCGTAAAAACTTAACGGAACAAAAAAATCTGATTTACCATAATTCTGACAACAATATTTACTGTAAAATCAACGAATCACTGTAATTAAATAAATATTATTATTGCGATATAAAACTTTACGGTAAAATGGATTTTACGAATGCTGCACTTCAGGGTGCCAGTGCTTTAAAACGTAATTTTATCCGGAATTTTTTAGTGTAGGAAGAAAGATAATTGATTCCTTTTAGGGTCAAAATAGAACTCGAAATAATTCCACATACCCTTCTCCTTTGGGTGCTGGCCTCCATTCCGATATCAGACATAAATTCTCTGAGGACAAATCTTTCAATTTTTCATCGAGACCTGTCGATCTTGTCCAAGGTTCATCTTCTTTATCTTCCATCTTCATAGCCACCGATCAGTGTTCGAAAATAGGAAGACCCGCCCCAATCACAATGCCGTCCAATTCTTGTTTCTGAATTTCTTGCCCCCGTCCCCTGTTTCCATCTTTTTCTTCCCCTTCTTCCCAAACTTGACCTTAATATCCCCCCCTACCCCTCATGGATCACTTGTATTTTGCGTGCAGTTACGTTCACGAGTAATTGATATTGTGGAGGATTGATTTCAATGGCGTTGGTTGATGGATGACTTCAAATATTTTAATAGCGGCTTCTGTATGCCTGGCTAATAAAGGTAACTGACTACCTTACGTAAGAGGATTGATAGGCTTACGTATAATCCTCATAATGAGATTGTCGGTGCATATTGGGTTTTTGGTGTGTAAACAAAACGAAAAGCCAATCGTTTGGTTTTGACACTTTTAATTGGATAGATGTTTTTATAGATCATCATCCATAACTCATATCTTATAATTTATATTTAAAATATCAGATGTTTAAAATGATTCTGTCATTTGTCAACAAGTTGTGTTGGTTTTTCATCATCCATAACTAATAGCTATCACATTATATTTAAAATATCAGATGTTTAAAATGATTCTGTCATTTTTCATCAAGTTGTATTAATTTTCCATCATCCATAACGCTAAGCTCTCGATTTATATTTAAAATATCAGATGTTTAAAATAATTCTGTCATTTGTCAACAAATTGTATTGGTTTTTCATCCTCCATAACGCATAGCACTCACATTATGTTTTAAATATCAGGTGTTTAAAATATTTCTGTCATTTTTCAAAAAGATGTATTGTTTTTCCATCATCCATAACGCATAACTCGTATAGTATGTTTTTAATCCCAAATATTTGAAGAAATTCAGTCATTTTCCAACAAGTTTAGTAAATTTTCTTCTATAAAACATAGCTCTTTCATTGCGAGTAAAGAGTCAGAAAATTAAAGTAAGTTTACCATTTTTTGTGAATTGCAAGGCAGTGGTAATTTTTTTAAAAATATATGAATTACTTTTAGATATTGTAACAAAGCATAGAACATATTTAGTACTGAATACGGTCGGCAAAATTTATAAGTTGGAATCAGTGGCCACATTTATTTCAAAAGACCTGATATACAAAATTCCTCAATGCAAACTAAAATAGGATGATAAATTCAAAGGCGGAAGTTTTTTTTAATATACTGCATGGCGCTAACTGAATTAGATTGATAAATTTAATAGGATGCACAAAGTGGTGAAGTTAAGAAGTAGTAATTTATCTCATTGATATCTCTAGAGTAATTTTATTATAGTAATTAATTTATTTCCTTTTATACGCAAGATCCGACTAACAAAGGATGAGGTACTGACCAGTAATAAATTTATTGACTCAATTTGTATCCATTATTATAATATTAACAAATATCGCCTTTTACGAATTTATACTGCATACTTTCATGTTTACCAATTTAATTAATTTGTTCTTAATTGCATAATTTTAATAATCTATTCAATTCTATTTCAGCACATCAAAATTTTATTATACGAAATTTTTAATAATTGAAATTTAATTATTATCTAGAGACATAAATCAAATCTCATGATTTATGCATTTTGGGTACAATTTTTTTTATCTTTTCAAGATTTCGATTGAAATTTTCTGAGATTTAATGTTAATTTACGTTAATATGCCGAGAATTACCTTCAGATCTCATCCGCTTATTGCAAACAGCATAGAAATTGGTAATTTGTTTATTGTGGACCCGAATCTCTTTTCTCTGGATATTTAAAGAAATTTAACTAAATGTTTTTCATTATGATAACTTAAAAAGCATGTAACTAGGATGTTTTTAATTAAAATGAAAAACCCCACATTTTAAAGGAGTGTTTAAAATGAATCATTTCGCCGGAATGAATAATGCGATTGATTCCAAAGACAGGCATTTGGGAGTGAGGTTGCACAGAAATTCCCGTTGTCAAATGCAACTTTCTTAAAAAATGACGCAAATAAGAAAGAAAAATACCAAAAAAATGACGAAAATTGAAAAAGATATAGGTCTGAAAAACTAGTTATAGGGAGACAACCACTATGTTATATGGAGTATATTTTGAATGTCATTCCCGTTATTAAATGCAACTTTCTTAAAAAATGACGCAAATAAAAAAGATAAACATCCAAAAAATGACTAAAATTTAAAAAACTAATTAACTTTGGCTTTGAGAAGAATGTATTTCACGGGTTTATGAAACAAAGTTCAGTGAAACATGTATATTGACATGCAATAGAAAAGTTTTGTTACATTATTGGATTTATAAGTATTTTTTAGAATGTTAACAAAAAAAAAACTAATTAACTTTGGTTTGGAGAAGGATGTATTTTACGATCTTATAAAACAAAGTACAGTGAAACTTGTATAATGACATGCGTCAATGTTGAAATCAATGTTTTTTTAGATTATAGGATTTATAAGTTTAAAAACAAAGGTCTAAAAAATTATTTATAGGGAAACAACGTCTTCGTTATATGTAGCATATTTTGAATGTCATTTAATGTCATAAAAAATTCGCTGTAAAGAAACTTCGTTGTAGAGTGTTACATAGAGGCTATATATTTCGTTAGTTAATAATTTATAAAGCAAATTATTCCCAATTGCACTAAATCTTTACGAATAATAATTCTGCAATAGGCAGAAGAACATTTGTTTTAAAGATTCCGGATATAGAGAACCAATAATTTGCATGATTTGTTAGTAGTATATGTATTTAGTTATATAAATAGTAGAATTCTTGCTTGCTGTGCAGTCGGTTCACTAACTATATTTCAAACATACAGTTATAGAGTTGATTTTTTTTCCTTGGTGAAGTTTAGGGGGTTGTTACAAATTAATTTCATATAAATATCGTACTTTGAATCTACTCGATTCGAAATCAGCTGCAAAAAACAACTGTTTGCCCAAATCTACCTTTTTCATATTCTTTATTCTTAGATATTATTAGACTTTATTCTTAGATATTAGATTTATTCTTTTTCATATTCTTTATTTTTCATATTCTTTCTTTTGAGCAATAATGACGCTATCTTTTGATAAGAAACATGTTTCAAGGTATCCTGTCACAAAAAATTTATTAATTCGTAATCTTCAACTTAATTAAATATATTTCTACTTTCTTCTCCCTGGACAACGTAAGGATAATAAACTTTTCAAAAAAAATTTTAAAAAAAACTTGTCTATTTATATAAGCACAAAGTGCAAGAAAAGCAAACATCCTGAGTAACTCTAATAATTGGAATTTCATCAATCTTAAAAATTCCAGGGCCGAATAATAAATTAGAGCAGGTAAGTTACGAAATCAAAAACGAAAATGTACTTTCTCTGAATAAGCTACAATTTTTTTTTTGATGGATTTGTATTCTTGATCCTCAAAATAAAGGGTTAGTTGCATTTTGGAAAATACGATTCGATTCATTTAGGCAGGAAAGAAATCGAAAGTTCGGACCACTGTTTAATGTTAATTTCACTTCCTAAACTCATTAAAAACAATTTTCCGTTTAATTAATTTTAAAATCGAAGACTTAATAAATAATGCAAAACTGAACCAGTTCAACCAAACGGTTTTTAATAAAGTTAGGCAAAAGTGGCATATTTTCACTAATCCAATTTTAATTTCAGACGAATTCTTAGCTCTGTATCCAGTTATGTAACTTAAAAGCTTCCGGGATATACTTTTTGAAAGAAGCACAATACTCATTAACATGGTATTGCCAAAATGGTTTCTCTCGCCTAAAAACATTTCCTAAACAATTTGAAAAATGGGGCTTTATCACGACACGGCTTCAAGTCTTTTATGTTTACAGAATTTATTAAATTTCTTCATTCTTGTAATGCCGCTACGTGTAGATCTAAAATTAAATATTATGAAACCATGGTTATTTTTAATTAAATATTTTATTTAAATTCAATTTTATAGCGTTTATTGCTTTTTTATGCATATTTTTCTTATTAGAACTTAGACTAACTCTTTTTTTTTTTTAACCTTATCCTCTGAATTCGAATTAATAAGAGTCCACTAGGTTTCATCAGTGTCATACAGCTTTCTAAAGTAAAATAAAGTAGTAATTGTTTATTTAGGTCACATTAGAGCTGTCCAAAGGGCTACTGGTGCCAGACCGGGAAACATCCCATAGGATGATAATGAGCTAGACATGCGTACGCCCTCTATTCCATCGCATACTGATCCAAGTAGTCACCCATCCGCTCTCTGACAGCAGTCATTAATGCTTAACTTTGGTCATCTGCTGGGAACAGTGACTTAACGGTCAGTCCACTGCGGGAGAGTAAGTAAAAAAAAATATATGCAACACAAAAATATTGTAATAGAGTTTAAAGTTTTTCTTGAAGAAGTTAAACAATTAGTACAAATTACGGTAACCAATCTGTTTAAATTTCCACTTTTTTTCGGTGGCTTTTATTAGACTGAGTAACATTATTATCGTCACTGAACAGCCGACCCAATTTATGAGTTTACGACTGCTAATGTTGAACTCCGGGACCTTGTAATTTTGACCCCAATCCAGAAGACAAGGAAACTCCTGGATCAAATATTGAGAGAAATTTGCCTTCGTGGAGGACTTCTTGATAGAACTAACCAGCATTTGTGTTTACATAGCGAGTAAAACCAAGAAAACCTCCCACGGTTTGCTTCTCAAGGCAAGGGGACTCTAACTCATGATCCTTCACCACTGAGGATATTTATATCAACACTGTGGTCGGTGCGAGTAGGATGCGAAATTGGAATCGACCAGTCATCGCTGGGATTCGAACCCGATTCACCTTATTGGAAGGCGAACGCTCTATCCCCTGAGTCACTACGGCTCAGACCGAGCAATATAACTGCGTTCAAGTCATTAGAATGTTTTATTAGTTTTAAAAATATATAATTTAATTGACGCACTCTTAATACTATGATATCGTCAGTTTTATCAGTTAAAACAGTGAAATCTGTAAAATTGTCGAACCTTGAAGCTGGCCACCTGTCTAAGTTAACCACCATCACCAAGAGCCAAATTTATCCTACATAAAAGGATCCATATTTGTTATTTATTGCGATTTTAAATTCCTCTTAAGTTAACCAACAAAAAAAAGCCGATTTAGGAAATTTTCTAGATACTGGGTAATGTATACGAATTTCACTGACTGAAAAAATAGATGAAATAAATAAAATATTGAAATGGCAAGCATTTTTTTTAACTGGATATTTATTCATGCATATTGATATTTTAAGAAATTAGTTAGAATAAATTACCTGGAAAACATTACTAACAAAATATGCAAAATATGCACATGCAAAAATTTGTCTTCGTTTTTTTTTAATTCATCGATTTAATATTATATTTATGTTCATTCTATTTCAGTTTGGTAAATAATCTTATTGCTTGAGATACATGGGGTATTT